GGGCGCGCTCGAGGAAGACAAGATAATATACACGCGCTGGTCACACATGCGTTCAAGGTCAGGCGTGCGCACGAGGTCACATATATGAGTAAAAGCTGAGTCAACCCAGACGAAACCGTAGTGAGTAGGGCGTGTAGGACATACCTGTGTGTCCCTCTATCACGGTGACGCCCCTACCTGTGCCTACCTCCACTACCTGTGCCCACCTCCACTACCTGTGCTCACCTCCACTACCTGTGCTTACCTCCATTACCTGTGCCCACCTCCACTACCTGTGCTTACCTCCACTACCTGTGCTTAACTCCACTACCTGTGCCTACCTCCACTACCTGTGCCCACCTCCACTACCTGTGCTCACCTCCACTACCTGTGCTTACCTCCATTACCTGTGCCCACCTCCACTACCTGTGCTTACCTCCACTACCTGTGCTTAACTCCACTACCTCTGCGCACCTAGTCTAACCTAACCCAACTTGATAGCCTCCAAACCCCTCCATGTTCAGCCGACCTATATTTCTGAATCTTTTCCTATCTCGTGGGGTCCAGCTTAGGCCCCTGACTGTCACTATTGCCCATCAGTTTCCCATCACTGTTGTGTCTGAGGCTACAATACCCAGCCCATCACTGATCAGCCATTGTTATTGTTGTGTTATCAGCTGGCGTGTGTGTGTGTGTGTGTGTGTGTGTGTGTGTGTGTGTGTGTGTGTGTGTGTGTGTGTGTGTGTGTGTGTGTGTGTGTGTCACCAGTCAGTCCTTAATGGGTCATCAAGGCTGTCCCTCACTCCCTCTCACTTGATATTCACCCTATGCTCTGACTAGTGAAGGAGAGAAGGCGAAGAAGAGAGATTGGAGAAGAGAGGGAGGGTGGGTTGGAGGAAGAAAGGAAGGGTGTAGTTGGGAGAGGAAAGAAGAGAGGGAGGAGGTGGTAGAGAGGTGGAGCAGGGAGTAGGGAGGGAGTTTGGGGGAAGGAGAGGAGAGTGGAAAGGACTGGGGGATTTAGTTAAAGGAAGGGAACATAGATGGAGGAAGATAAGGAGTAGAAGAGAATGGAAGGAGGGAGGGAGGGAGGGAGGGGAGGGGAGGGGAGGGGTGACGGAGTTGTTGGGAAGGGGAGGGAGAGAGATAGATAGATAGGCGACCTTGATGTGCTTCCAGTAGTGTTTTATCTCCCTTCTCCCCCCTTTCCCTCTCCTGTCACTCGTTACAGCTGTGTGTCCTTTGTGTGTGTGCTCGTGTTTTTTTTTTTGTGATTGATTATTACTATTATTATTATTACTTCCATCCGTTTAAAATAATCATCACTCAGCTTTCAATAGTTCATGGGTTCCATCGTCATCAAGTGGACCCGTTACCAAGTACAACAGAACCAGTCACTGTACACGGAACAAACCCAAACCTCAGCAGGACCGGGAATCGAACCCTTAACCAATATTTCCCAACAGCAGGGTACAAACTCTTCTTGGGAAGTAATATTTTAAAAAGATTTTGTTTCTTCTGCATGATTTATAGTTTAAGAATAAAAAAGGGCGACATTTGGAACATTTTTGGATCGTTAATGATATTTTAAGCTGGTTGTCTTTATCCAACACTGAATTTCGAGATGTGTCGTGTCATTATTTATAGAGTTGACCATTGTTTATAAACCACATAAGTCCTTCAGATTGTTTTATCGCGTATTCAGGAAGAGCTTATTTGCCTTTATACAGTTGACGTGGAGATATACTGGTCACTTATCACCATTTGTTATTTTGGCGGGTTCTGTCATGAGGTACTGTACGTATAGTTAATAGGTGAAAGTTAGCCATTGTCACACCGTTCGGGACCTCACTCTTAGTAATGGCTCTTATTCCAGCTACGGTATTGTACGAACGCGGGAAATATGTCATAGATAGATAGATAGATAGATAGATAAATATAAACTCGTATTCGTGGTGTTGGAGACTATGATGGTGGTTGGTGGTGATAGTATGGTAGGTGAATGATAAAAAAAAAATACTTCCATCACCAACCATGACAATAAACGTACCAAAGAAAACGTTAGTAATCGGTCCGTTCAATGGTAGACCACACTAAACTATGTGGTCAGTAGATTATTATTTTTTATTTTTTTTTATTTTGTTGGGCGAGGATGGGGAAAGGGAGAAGACTAATGGTTTTATATTGAGATTAAAGAAGACAGAATTTTGTTTTATTGCCTTCTCCCTTTCACCTATCCACCCTCCCTCCCTCTCTCTATAACACCCCACCCCCTTTCCCAGTCTCACCCATCCTTCTACCCTCTCTCCCTATCTTTCTCTCTATAACACCCTCCCTTTCCTACTCTCGCCCCCTTTCACTCTCCCACCCACCTTTTCACCCTCTCCCTCTCTCCCTTCCTTCCTTACTCCCTCCTTTCCTCCTTCATTTCCTCCCTTCCTTCCCCAGTCACCCACCTACTCAACTTTCTATCCCCCGTCCTTCACCAAGCGGTCAGTGACTGTGATATCATTCAACAGGAAAAAAAAATATCAGGAAAAACACAGACCCAGAACATTATTACGACAGACGTAAGTGTGCTTGAAGAGAAGGGGGAGATGGGAAAGTGGGATGAGGAGGGAGACAGTCAGTTAATGAGGGAGGGAGGGAGGGAGAAGAGAAGAGAAGAGAAAGGAATGGAAAAGAGAGAGGGAAGAGGGAGGGAGAGGGGGAGTGGAATAAAGAGGGAAGAGGGTGGAAGAAAAGGGGGAGGAGAGAGAAGAAATGTTAAGCGGAAGAGGGTGAGGGCAAAGAAGAAAAGACGACCATTCTCACCAAAATACGAATAATATACGGTCATGCAAAACAAAAGACGAACGTAGACTTTATCATGCCAGTATAGACGATATGATAAGGTAACACCCCAAGACCCACTGCTGTTCCTACACGACTAAGTTATAAACACAATCTTGTACATTTAACCTGAAGACTCAAACCGTGGCAATGTTCTTCACAAAAGTCATGAAATAAATAGATATTACAATGACTGGCGGATGTATAAACTGTCCTTGAGGAGAACATAGGGCGGAACAGAGAGAGAATAGAGGGAGGGAGAAGGGGAGGGTAAGGAGGAGATAAAGAAGGGAGAGAGAGAGGGGGGGTGAAGGGAGGAGGGGGAGGTAGATAAAGCAACACGCGTGACGAAGAAAACAAGTTAATTATCAGTGTTTCTTGAGTCTTATCTTGACTAACATTGCCTGATTGTGTGATTAGGATTATTAAGTGAGGTGAGTGAGGGGATGGCGTGAGAAGGGTGGTGTGGGGATGGCGTGAGAGGGGTGGTGTGGGGATGGCGTGAGAGGGGTGGTGTGGGGATGGCGTGAGAGGGGTGGTGTGGGGATGGCGTGAGAGAGGTGGTGTGGTGAGGGGGGGATGGTGAGAGGATGACGTGAGAGGGGATAATGATTGGTAGAGTCCCCCCCTCCCCCTTGTTTTCATTGTCAACAAACAGTGGTGGTGGAGGATGCTGACACAAGTGAGTAGGTCATGGCCACCCCGAGCTCATCACTGTGTCCTGGATACTGATGATGGTGTAAGTGGTGGTGGTAGTGATGATGGTGGTGATGTGAAATGATGAAGATGATGATGAAGACACAACACAACAGCACAGCAAAACAACAAATACCAACCCACAACACAACAAAACAACAGCCCACAAGATCCTTCACAGTCAACAAAAGAATCTCCGCGTGAATAAAGTCTCCTGGTCCAGAATAAATATATATTTGTCAGGGTTATTCTTCCTCGTGAATCGTCTTGTCAACAGAGTCAAGGTGGTGTGTGGGGACCTTCCTGTGGCAGCAGATGAACAGTACTGCTTCACGTCTCTTAACAACACGTCTACTATACGTCGAGGACATGTTCACAGTGCCACACACATAATGCAGGGAGAGAGAGCGAGAGACCAACACCACTTTATTAAGTTACTTCCCCAGGTATCCCTTCTCCAGGTACAGAAAACAAGGTTCCATGTGAGGCAGCAGGAGTTACTATGTGAAGTAACAGGAGGTGCAGTCAACCAAAGATACACTGACCCCACCCTGGGTCTCGTGCTCGCAATTTTACCTGGTAAAGGAAGGCTGTACCTGTATGTAAAGGTGGTTGTGATTGGTGGATCAGTTTTCGGCTGTATCACTGTCAGGATAAATATTAAAGAAACCAAAGGTAGAATTGTCATAATCATAAACTATTCATCATTATTTAAGATCCTGAGAAGTTTCCAAATTTTCGTATACATTAATTGCTTAAATAATGAAGAAATTATATTAATGAATTGGCAACTCAGCTACAACCACAGCTGCCACAAGATTCTCAGATAAAATTTTCTTCACTATTTAGGCAAATATACGAACATTTGGAAACCTCTCACGATCTTAAATAATGATGAATAGCATATTATTATAAAATTCAAGGCAGATCCAGGGAGGCCCTAAAGGTCCGGACCCCCCTTTTCATCAGAAAATTCCAATACTTTTTTTTTAATGCAGTATAGTACCTGGGCATTTATGTATGGTAAAAAGTAATTACAATTAACCTCAGAATATCTAGTACACTTGGCTTCAAAATGGCCTTGAAATTGGTCAGGTTTCAAAAAAAAATAAAAAATTCGGGGGAGAGGGACTTCTAGCACCCCCCAAAAAATCCCAGCTGGGTGTGCTCGCTTTGCTCGCCATGGTCCCCCACCAAAAATTTATTGGATCCGCCCCTGAAAATATTACCTTTGGTTTGTTTAATATTTATCCTGACAGTGATACAGCCGAAAATAGATCCACCAAGCACAGTCACCATTACAACGGCCTTATTTTACCAAGTATTGTCAGGTAAAATTGAGAGCACGAGACCCAGGGTGGGGTCAGTGCGTCTTTGGTTGACTGTAATATGTAAGGCAGCAGAAGGCATAATGTGAGGCTGCAGGAAGTGCTTTGTGAGGCTGTAGGAGGTACTATGTGAGGCAGCAGAAGGTAACCTTGTTCTCTCTCTTACAGACGTTTGTGTGGGCAGCCGGGGGTTGAGGAGGCCAGCAGTAGGCGGTGGAGGAGAGTTGAGCACCAACACCCTGGCCGAGGTGGACCATCCAACACCCCCGGACTACGGGTCTATACTGAAGGGCATCAATGGTGATTTCGGCATCCGGTCGGAGGTTGTGGAGGCGGCAGGGAAGGAACCCGAATATCGAGGGTCGGAAACTTTGGTGGTGCCGCTATACATCCCAGAGGGCGCCGTACCTATTAACTTAGCACGTATCGCCCGCTCTGGCAGCCCTCAACCCGTGGTGGAGTTGCTCAACATGAAGGTCTCGCCCTCTGCTGACTCCGTCCTCATCCGTCGAATAGGACCTGTGAGTGGGCAGAGAGCTCCACCCCCTCCAAGACGCGGCAGCTGGCGGCCTCCACAGAGGACCAGAATCTCCAGACTTCCTCCAATACGCAGGTCTGACGTAGCAGGTCGACAGCCAATACCCAGACCAACTCCGCCAACCTCACTGCTGGCGGAGTTCGGTCAGCGACTACCTGCACCCAATGCCGCGCCTCTGGTGGCTGTGCGGCGAATATCATCCTCCCAGACACTCCCACACAGCAACAACGATGGCCTAGACAATAACACCAGCAAGCGAGCCAAGAAAAATGAACTTAGTAAAGACACTCAGTTTCCAGATGAATTTCACACCACACACAGACCCGAGGATGATGATGAAGATGGTGGTTTAGACACGTCCTTAGCGCCACACACCTCCTCGACCACCACCAAGAGGGCGCCAACAACCCTCCATGGTGGTGGTGATAAACAACTACCTACTGGCAAGTTCTTCAAATCTTCACCTCATACTACAACACCTGCCGCCACTACTACTACTACCTCTACAACATCTACCACCACAGTAACACCCATAACTACAACGCCTTCTACCACCACCACGACCACCACTACTACTGCATCAACTACGACGACAGAATTACCTACTACAACCAAAAGATCCACTACAATTACCACGACTCCATCAACCACCACAACGACATCAACCACAACAACAACCCCTGCAACAACGGTGTCCACAACCACAGAAACTATGACAACCACAACTGAACCCGCCACACAAAGAACAACCTTACAAAAAGATCAACCCTCAAGTACGACCAGCACTCCTTCCACGACCAAATGGGACCGTCGGTCAGTTCTCTTCCCACGACCTGTTGAGTCTATCCTTAAAACGTCCAAAACTGAAACTTCAACCACTACCTCAACAACCACAACCCCGACCACCACAACAACCAGGAGTCCATCGCCTACTTTAAGAGTTCTTCCTGCTTGGCTCACCAGGTCGAAGCCATCACCCACAAAGTCTCCAGTAAATTTGACCACAACCACCCCAAGAACCCCAGCCATAGAAAAAGTGACATTGTTTACCAGGTTACGAACAGTGACTACGAACAGGCCTCTTACCACGACCACAGAGACCACAGCAACGCCAGAACCCACAACTTCAGGAAGATTCACGGCGACGACAAAATCCACGTCGACAGTGTCCATAACAAAGAGACCACTGAGAGTAACACAGAGACCAGCGAGCACCACGGCTGATCGAACTACGTCAGCTGTTACCACCTCAGCCACGACTACAAGACCACCAATCATCGCTCGGAGACCAGTTCTTGCTCCTGAGAGGTATTCGCCCGTGAGGATGATGCCAAGTGTTAGTGAGATCTTAAAGGATTCTGCAGCACTGGGCCTTGAAAATTCTAAATATGCTGAAGATGAAGAAGATGAAACCTCGCTAGAGACGACGCCTTCGAGTTCCTCTATGACAGAGTCTCCAAGTGTTGACGACATGCTCAAGGAAGTAACACCAGAATCCAGTGTTGCTGATGAGGAGAGTTTTAAAGCTTCCACGAGTAGGACTGTGAAAGAAAGAGAGAGGAAACTGCCGATTATTAGGTTCTCAGGAGCTGATGATAAGGAAGATGATAAACAAGAGACAACCACGAAAGTGATCGATTATAAGCCAACTGTCTCAGGGCTGAGAAAGTTCACAGGACGTGCTCGATTAACCCCAAGCACTTCAGACTTTAAGCTGAGTCCTGAGAGACAGAATAGACCTCTTGGACATAGAAGACGACGGCCATTACGGACAAGAATCACACTTCCTCCCATAATTTACACCAGAGATTTCTTCACTGAACCAGAAGAAACTTTCACCTTCAGATCAACAACACAAAACCAGAAGATTACGATAACAACAACACCATCACCATTGACAACAACTTTACCCACAACAACGGTGACAACTGACAAGACTCCGGAACAAATAGTGCTGGAGAGCCTGACGGAGATCATGAAAGACGCCACCAACAACAACAAGAGCAAGGACAAGGTCTCCAGCATAACTACCAACCTTGAAGCTCTCAACAAGCAGTTGGCTGAGAGAGGGATCCACATCATCCACGCTGAGGTTGATGGAGTCAAGATTAAACTCGATAATCGCACAATAACTCGTCCCATAATTCAGCCAGTTGCGACAACGTTCCGCCCAGTAACAGCCTTCAATGTTTCATCCATTTCAGAGTTTTCCACGACAGAGAGACCTTCGACGAGTATCTCCTCACCATCTGTCATAGATCGAGTAATTCCCACACAAGACGAGGTTGTGACAGATAGTAAGGTAGACAAACAGATCCTTACATCAGTCAAGTCATCCTTCTCATACCAAACATCGAAGCCAACAGAGGCTGAGGAAGAGACTGACAGTGACAACGAGGTGCAGAGCACCACCAACGACTCCAGCTACACTACCACAAAGCCAGTGGACATCAGGAAGTTCACTGACAGGCCTGGATGGGGCGAGTCTCCCAGACTATCCCTCTCCTCCTCACTTCTTCCTTACGTCGAGGAGGCGGAGGAGGACCCAGCGAGGAATAAGACTCAATCAGATGGCTACTCCAAAACACCACTTGTTGAGGAAAGTTCTCCACCTGTCCGGACGACCACCACACGAGGAGACCCTGACACTGAGGGAGAGCAAGATGGCAGCGTGACGTCTAAGAGAATCTTTGCCACCTCGACCGTCCCCGCCAGTGTCACCACCCGCACGAGGTCTACCACAGTCCCCATCACCACACACAGACCCGCCACCAGACCCTTCCTTCACTCCCCGAGAGGCAGACCAAGACCTGGAGGCTTCACTGGGGAGGAGACCATCGACCACACTAGCTCCAGCCTTGATGGTAATGACACAGGAACAAAGGAAACAGACTTTGAAAATTCTACTGAGAAGAACACTTCCCAGGTGCTTCATGTCCCCCGTGTTCCTGCCACCATCCACCCAACCTCGCACCACCGCCCTACACTGCTACCGACACATCCCGACGAAGGACCCATCAGAACCTTTGGCGGCGGTGCCAGTATCGCTGATGTGGGTCAAGACAGAGCCTTACCAGCTACTACCACAGAAGATGCCACCACCACACAGAGCCCAACAACTGACTCCATCATCACCGTGAGGAAGATTCCAGCCAGAGTCTCCACGCTGAGGCCCATTATTGACCTCATCACCTTTGACCAGGGGTCATCTTCCACCACTGCCGAGCACATTGAAAGTGACGAATTCGACGACTCTCCATCCTCACTGTCCTCCTACACCGCTGTTTACATCATAGGAGTAATTGGCATCATCCCTGCTGCTGGCCTGGCTGCCTTCCTCGCCAAAAAGTTCTTGAAGAAGACGCAGAAGGCCTTACCTGAGAGTGAGGAGCGAGGAGAGGGCTTCACCCCCTCCACCCACCACTCCAGGAAGCCATCACACTCCACGACCCTGGTGAGTACACCCACACCACCCAACAGTATTCTGTGACTCGTACTCACACTAGCACACACCCTGGCAGACCTCACTAGACTCTGAACATCTTGTGTACGTGTCTGTCAACATTTATCTTCAAACAGTCGAGTTGTATTCTGGATTCCTAAGCTTTTCCTCTCATGTGTGAAGCTGCACCCTTTGATGAGGACGATGATTTACTCCCTTGAGAATTATAAATTGAATTATCGTCCTTGGTGGAGTTTAAAAACCTTCGTCCTCAGAGGGTTAAAACTCAAGTAGGACTTCAGATACATCAAGTTGTCAGTCGGTAACCTAACTTGGTGTTGCAGGACGTGGACGGGTCGTCAGTGGAGGCCAAGAACCCACACCCCAAGTACACACCCTGGGAGTTCCCGAGATCCAAGCTGCGTCTTGTGTCCATTCTAGGGGAGGGGAACTTCGGAGTGGTGAGTTACCTCTTTCACCTACCTATGACCTACTTATACACCCACCTATCTTCCTATCCACTCATCTACCTACCCACCCACCCACCCTTCTACTTACCCACCCACCCACCTTTCTACTTACCCACCCACCCATCTACTTATCACCCACTTGCTTACCCACCCACCCATCTACTCACCCACCCACCCACCCACCCTCTACTCACCTTCCTGCCTGCCTACCATACAGAAGTGAGTTTGTCTCTGTCACTCTTACCTATTGCAAGAAGTTGAATTTTGCAACGGATGCAACTGTGTTATATACAGTATAGTGAAGCATAGTAGATCATACTTGAAGGTGTGTATGCAACTCAGTACAGGTGTAATTTGTAACAAATGAATCCAGCCCTGCTGATACACCTTATTGCAGTACCAGTTTGATGAAGTTAGAACAGGAGAGTTTGTTCAAGAATACAATCCAGTCTTTTATAGTGTTAGGAGTCGTATGCTGTGGAGGTGAATATCATATGTTTTGATGGGAGTTTAACCTTTAATTTCTGATGTGTTCTTAAGGTAACAAGGTCCTATGTTTGTTGCACTTTAACCCTTTTGAATCCTGAAAGGTTAAATCCTAGTCATCAAAGGGTTAATGTTGATTTTTTAACCCTTTTTGAGAATGAAATTTTAACCCTTTTTGAGGATTAAATATTTTAACCCCTTTTGATGACAATATTTTTTTTAACCCTTCCAAGGATGCTATTTTAACTCTTTAATGATTATATTTAACCCTTTGAGAATGATGGTTAATCTGTCTCATCCTAAAAAGGTTAAATAAAATGGTCAATCCTCAAAGTAGTGTTATCTTCTTGGTATGAATAAGACATTACATCACCTTACAAAACTCCTGAAGATAGATGTCGCTACTGCAGGTGTGGAAGGCAGAGGCACGGGAACTGTGTGCGTGTGAGGGTGCCCCAGGAGGTCCTACAGTCTTGGTGGCAGTGAAGGGCGTGAAAGAGGGTGCTGGTGTGAAGGAGAGACAGGACTTGCTTAAGGAATTGGCCATCATGCAGCACATTGGTCAACATCCCAACGTGGTGACTCTCCTCGGCTGCTGCACTCAACAGGGTAAGTTTCTTTCAGGTGTCTCTCAGTGTCTTAGGTGTATCTCAGGTGTTCTCTCAGTTACTCAGTTGCAAACCTAACCTAATCCTTCCAGGAAGCATTAGGGTGTTTAATCATCAGGTGAACTAAGCTAGGGGCTAATCTTAGTGATTCATCTTCTCATATCTCAAGAAAATCCATATATATAATACCTTAAGTTTTATTATTATTATTATTATTATTATTTATATTTTGTAATCGATATTAATATGATGACGTCATTATCACCTACTTACTTCACCATTTTTTTTCCAACCTTTGTACCTGAACAGAACCTCATTTTGTGATCATGGAATACATAATGTTTGGTAAGCTGTTGACCTTCCTCCGAGATCACCGAACACGACACAACTACTACAACTTCTCGTCTGACACTGAAGCCTTGACTTCTAAGGATCTGACTCGCTTTGCCTGTCAAGTAGCGACAGGGTGTGATTACCTGCAGTCTCGTGGGGTGAGATGATGTTCCCTCCTGTTCTTCATGAAATCTTAAGTGTTCTTCATATACTTTCATTGATTTTACACACACGCACACACACACACTATATGACAGATAGAAGTAATACATGTAATTCACATGATTCTGCCTTCCTTCAGATCATTCACCGTGACCTGGCCTCCCGCAACATCTTGGTCGACCACAACAAAGTCTGCAAGATCGCTGACTTCGGACTGGCTCGCAACGTTAAAGATCTGGGGACTGATATCTACGAGCAGAAGAGCCGGGTGAGTCAGTCAGTCAGTCAGCCAATCAATTCAGACAGATTAACTCTCTTTCAATCAGTCAGTAAGTTAGTCAGTCAGTAAGTTAGTCAATCAGTCAGTTAGTAAGGCAATTAGTTAGTCAGTTGGTCATAGTGCAAATATATAATGTTAAAGTTCTGGTGATGAATAGAAAGTTGGGGTATAGGTAACCTTTGTACTTTCCTTTATAAATTCATGATTGTTTTGTAGATCATGAATGCTGTAAACAATATTACATTTTTTTTATAAAAACTAGTACAGTATACAGTGGTCCCTTGGTTAACGAACACAATTCGTTCCACAAAGTCGTTCGTTAACCGAATCCATTATTTCAATGAATATTGGGTAATTGGTTCCAGCTCACAGAAAAGTACATACAGAGTATAAACAAAATGCAGTAAAGTACACTTACTTTGAGGTGTGTATGTAGAATAATGATGATGATGATGGGAATTAAGAAGTGGGGGTGGAGGAGAAATCGCCTTTCTTTGGACCCATGCTTAATGCAGTAATTTCACCAATAAAATTTTAAGTTCACTAGCTGTAATTAAAGATTATTTTATTTAAATCAACACTGCACTGTACTATATACAGTGTATTATCAATATGTTAACTAAATTTCAGAATGACCAATAATTTTAATGTAAAAACATAAAAATACTCTGTATTCAAGAGAGCGACAAACATAATGTTTACTCCACTGTAAACAAAGTTAAACTGACTCTGGCGGGTGAGTCAAGCGGCTGATGGGCGCACAAAAAAATAGTTCCCAATACTGCATATAATCAATATGTTAACTAAATTTTAAAATGACTAATAATTTTAATATAAAAAAAATGCGAAAATATTAAAGAGCACAACCTTCTTAATATTTACGCCACTGGAAACGAATGTAAACATAGAACCGATTACTGTATTGGCGGATTAGCCGATCAGCTGGTGCTCACAACAAAACGTGTTTGTCGTAAGGATTTCATTAATCAAAGTTTTGTTCGTTAACCGAATTGAAGATCCTTATGGGAGCTAATTCGTTAACCAAAATTTCGTTTTATATATATATATATATATATATATATATATATATATATATATATATATATATATATATATATATATATATATATATATATATTCCCCTTCTACAAAAAAAGTAACACTTACCAGCACTGCAGGCGAAGAATGAAGCATCATAGTAGGTGACACAGATGCATGGTAGGTGATGCAGGTGGCCAGATATGCCGAGATTTTCCTAGATAATTTTATATTTCTCGGCATTTCCCGAGTTACATTATACAGTACAAGTAATACAATCTGACCATATCCGTGCCGAGTTACTGTATAAGAAATTACGAGTTATCAAATGCCGAGTTATCGAGTGTTTACTGTACAATATATATTTTTTTTCATTTCCCTTTGTCCCTTAATTTACTGTTTTAGTTTTTAATTTTCGTTTCTTATTTCTGAATATTAAACTGATTTATTTCCCTGTAAAAGAAGGAAAGATATCGACAATACAGTAATAATTGTGTTTTTATCCACCCAGGGAGCCTTGCCGATCAGATGGATGGCGCCTGAATCTCTGTACATGAGTATATTTACCCACAAATCTGATGTCTGGAGTTTTGGTATTATGTGTTGGGAGATTGTCACTCTGGGTAAGAACTCATCTCATGGTTTCTCTTTACATCACACTATATTATTATGTTTAATTTGCTTTATATATTTTGAATATCTCACTGCACTTTATACAGTATACTTTACCTATCACACTTTATATTATTTAACTTTACTTTATATAAAATAATAATAATGTGCAGTGCAGGTATACACACAATATACATAAATAGTGCTAGTATACACAATATGCATAAACAGTACTAGTACACACACAATATACATAAACAGTACTAATATACACAGTATACATAAACAGGACTAGTATACACAATGTATATAAACAGTACTGTACTTGTATACAGTACACACAACATACACAGACAGTGCAGGTGCAGGTATAAGAGCAATGTGTACATAGACATAGCAGATATACAAACAATGTTAAAATAGTAAATTGCTTTAACCAAGGATAGTGCTGTACAACAAAGTCATCAATAAGCTCATTTACAGTAGGTTACAAATACTTTACATGAAAACATCAGGAACTTATGTCACCAGGAGCAGCGAGACTCTACAACAGACTACAGTCCATTATTAGCTCACCGCTAATGCCCTGACCACCCTCAGGTTCCACACCCTACCCTGGCATGACGGCACGGGAGGTGATGCGTCGAGTACGGGAAGGATACCGCCTTGACCGCCCTGACCACTGCCACCCAGAACTGTACCGCATCGTGACCAAGTGCTGGCACCAAGACCTGAACAAGCGACCCTCCTTCTCAGACGTTAAGGTGGAGTTGGCTCAGCTCCTCGACCACGGTCAACAAGGTTATATTGACCTGGAGAACTTCCCTGAAGGCAGCTACTTCTCCATGCATGAAAATAATGATGAGAAACTGTGATGAAGACTGATTCACCACTGCCACCTTTACGCTACTCAACATTTGTCATTTTTTTCTTACGTCAACAGTATCATGGTTTTAATTTTTTGTCATTTATCAGCTTTGAGATTTTTTTTTTTAATCATTAACGTAAGAATATTGTATTGTAAAGATAAGTGTTGTGATGACAGAAGGCAAGAGTCTCTGTGTTGCTCTATCATCCTGGTTGTCACTTTACCCAAAGCTATAGGGTAGGATCGTGTAGTGTACAGTAGTGCGACAAGCAGGTCTTGCTCGTTTTTTTCTTCTATGATAGACCTTTACCATAAAAAACACTCGTCTGCACTGTGTTAATACTGACAAGTGTTGGTTAGATGAATCAAGATAAAACTATTCAACCAGCACAGATTTTCAGATGTTTGCACGATCAATAGTCCTCATAAGTGAAGATACAGGAATATACAATCAACTACTGAAGTTTGTTAGCCTCTCACCCTGAACCATGAACCCCCAAGAGATTCAGACTCGTAAATCTGAATCAGGTGACTGATACATAATTCTGTCCATAAATGCTTCAGATTCATCAGTCTGAATCTCCGGGGTTCGTGGTGGTTCAGGGAGAGGTGAATGGACTTTCAAAAAAATATCATCTAGACATAACATCAACATTATGCCAAGACTCTACCTTCATGTAACACTAGATGACACTAAGGTGTACATAATATAATTAACAAAGATTCACCTGTCAATTGGTGTAAGAAACAGCATCCAATTTGAGTCTTTATTATAACTCTGATGTCATTTTTGTATGATATTTTTTTGATGTGTGTTTTAGTATAAAGTCAACTTGTTAAATGTATTCTTATATCTACACTTAACCAGGAGTATGTAACGTAAGAACAGTGTTAATCTGTGGGCCTTAAGGAGCTACCAGTCTGTCACTTTCTCCTCTCAGTCACAGATCAATGCTGGCTGATCTGTCAACACTAAGATGTCTATTAACAAGTACAGAATTTCCTCCTTTTTTTCTACTTTATTCATCCTGTTAGTATCTTGTAGTCACTGCATTCCTTCCTGACCCAAACTTAGAAGTTGAGGGAATGTTGTTTTTATTATTACATCTGACACACAAAACCTTCCAATGCAGTTTTATAAAAATATCTCCTTTTTGAGCTTTACCAAAGATGGCATAGTTAACTCTAGTTTGTTCTTAGATACTCTGCCTGCCTGCCTGCCAAGACTACCATAATAAATCAAGATAAGAAATCTGACTTATGGAGAATTTTCAGTGATCATCGTCCTGAAATTCCCAATTTTTTTTTATTATTTATTAGTCAATTGTTTTTACTGTGTCAGACTGAAGGTTTAATATTCTTCTTGACTGACCGATTGATTTAATGATTGACTAACACACACACAAGCACTCTAATATGACTTCAAAATCCTCTTCGTGTCTTCCTCTTCATCAGTATACAAATCACTTCACCTGTGTTCATGTATACAAAAATAGTTATACATTGCTACTGTATTTTATTATAATCATTATTTATGACCCATTACGGAAAACAGCTTCACTAGAAACTATTTACTGCTATAACAAGTATGATATGTCCGTCCAGTACATTTAATGTTTTTGTTTTTATCTAAAGATAAGTATTTTAATGTGTACAGTATATATAATTGTATATATTTTGTTGTTGAAAATTTTGGATATATATTGGCACTGATGACTGTTGGGTGTTACCTTTTGCATAGATCGAGTGTCACTGAGCCACAACATAGCAGTCATTGTTCTTATTATCCTTGATATAACAAGTGAGCATTAATGCATACTTCTTTTATAGAACAATCTTGTAGTGCAGTATACATTGAAACCATTTGGAGTATTAGAACCCACATATTAGACAATTCTTTATGGTTTCTAAATGAATATGAACTCAAATACTTCACAATATTTGTATAGACTTTAGAGATAAATTTATTTAAAAAACATAAGCCATTTTGTGTGATATTTGTGTTATATTTCTTTAAAATGTTGTATATGTGGGTTGTATTGTCAGGTACCATGTTTTATTTGTTTTTCCATATCCTGTCCATTTTGGCTAATGACTATATTTGTCAGGTATAATTTGTAAGTATGTCTCAATTCATAATATATATATATATATATATATATATATATATATATATATATATATATATATATATATATATATATATATATATATATATATATATATATATATATATATATATATATATATATATATGTATATATATATATATATATATATATATATATATATAATCAAATGTGGCACCTCGATTTCATAGTAACTTAAAAGATAATTTAGTCCAGTTAGAAATTTACTCCTTGCAATATACATGTTCATAGTTATCTCATGAAGACTTAGGTTGTGTTCAGAACCTCATAATCGTATAGTCTCGTTCAAGATTTTTCGAACACTGCTGGAGACAGCTGGCAACTCAAAGCCGTTTGTTTACTATAGTACGTAGTATAATGTAATACGAAACAACAAAGCCTTACCATTAAATTAAGCAACGGGAAACTAAGTAACCAATCGCCGATCACTTTTACATTTATTCATAATTTTTTACTATTTACTATAGTAAACAAGCGGCCTTGTGTTGCCAGCTGTCTCCAGCAGTGTTCAAAGAATCTTGAACCAAGACTGTACATGTAGTGTTATATCGATTTTTACCTATTTAAGCATTATTTTCATATATAATAATGTTAGTCAAACACATTTTTTACCGATTTTGTATAACAAATATGATCAATAGAGAGTTACCTATTAAGAATTGTTTTCGGATTTAATAATGTTAGTCAAAGCAGAATATTTTATCTCATTTTCTTTAATATTGATGTCGTCATGTTTAGTTTGTGTCAATAGGCCTTCTTTGACCACTGTCAGAGCGGCTGCCAGGAACCACAGATATGTCACAGTTGTTATGTTAGAGAACACTACAGTGAAACCTCTTTTTAAGAAGTTCATGGAAGAGAAGATCCATTAGATGTGAATCACCCTATCTAGAGAGAAGTCTGTTATATGGAGGTTTCACTGTAGTGGCAATAATATATGTATTATGGGTGCTTTAACCAGTGACCACTTAAAAGTCATGGGAAGTAAAGTACTAGTAATTAAGGTATTTGATTTTATTTAAGTAAAATTTAATAGTTTAATTTACACAGGATATGAGTAATGTTTAATAAGTTTCTTGAAAATGGTAGGGTGGAGAGATCCGAAGTGTTTGACTATATTAAGTAATTTGAATACAGCTTCTCTCCAAAAAAGTTTTCTCAACTTTTTAGAGAAATGACACAATAATGAGATCACCTGCAGATTAGCCACCCAGGTTATATCAAGTCAAGATTAACCACCTTAACCCTGACCTTACATAACCTAATCACCACCCCAAGGTAGAATTAGGGTGTTTAATCATAAGGTGAAATAAACGGGGTGGCTGATCTTCAGGTGATTCTTATACTCTTGTAAATAAATGTAATCTTAAGTTTTTGTGTACAGAGTATTTTTTATATATTGTATTTGAATATTTAAATAAATATTTAAATAATAATTATATATTTTTCTATATATGCCATACAAACTTTACACTTATTACCCAGTACAGTATTCTTTAACAGGTACGTGCAAAGGTAGGGGCTCAAGGGGGGGCTGGAGCCCCTACACCTTTGGCCTGCCAGTAACAAGAGGGAAAGGTATCCACTAGCCATGAAATAATAGGCAGATCAGCCCATTTAGGACACAAAGAACTTGAGGAAAAAAAACTCTTATATTATTCTCAAGTCAAGTATAAACACCCTGCTATAATATTATATGATGTGCGCTTTCGTGACAGACCTTGGATTTTAGTAGAAACAAGATTGGTTCACGTCCTAAACCTGCCTTCATTTATCCGTGAACATGTTGAGCACGTTGGTGTTTTAGCTTAGATCAGCTATATAATTCACAGTGATTATCTTATTGAAGGAAGAGAGATGTTCCTTTATCATAGTTCCTTGGTCTGGGGTAAATACACACGTCCTGTACGCGACAGGACAAATGCGCAGTCTCTCTCTCAAATTATAAAGTTGTATCACGTTATTACATATTTTAATTAATTTCACTCTTACAAATAATCCCAAATACAGTAAGTCCACGCTTAACGTTGTTTCGGTACAACGTCGCTAAGCTTTAAAGAAAAATATTCATTTAACTTCCCGGTGATCTGATACTACATCGTTTTGCGTCATCACAGACTACTTTCTACGGCGCATCACCCGCTCTTTGAGCAACGTTCTCTATTTGGGTCGTCATCTATAAGGATTTGCATTGCTTGCTGGAACATGTTGAACAATTCTGCCATCCTTTTTGAAGTTAGCGTTCATTGAGGTTCTTCTTCGTCGTCGTCTTCAACGGGACTGTGTTCTGTTAACAGTTGCAGATCTTCGTTGGTGAGCTCTTCTGTATGGGATGCCAGGACGTTCTCAATATCCTCTGATTCCAGCTCATCAAAGCCTGCCTGTCTAGCCAAGCTGAGGATATCCCTATTCACAGCTGGGACTAAGTCCATAAATCCAGTAAAACTGTTGACGCACTCGGGCCACAATTTACACCACACACCATTCAGGCAACTTTCTGAAACCTCTTCCCATGCCTTGCCAATGCTGTCAATTGCATGAAGAATGTTGAAGCCACGTCAATATTCTCGGATCGTAGGTTCATTTTCTCCGTCTGTAGCCTTGAGCAGCTGAGCCATGGTACAGCATAAATAATATGCCTTGAATGCAGCGATGACGCCTTGGTCCATAGGCTGCATCAGTGCTGTCGTGTTGGGAGACAGGAATACAACTTTTACACTGCCATGCAAGTTGTCGAGATTGGGAGAATGAGCTGGAGCATTGTCAATGATCAGAAGAATTTTGAAGTTAAGGTTCTCCTTGGCACAGTATTCCTTCATTGCAGGGACGGCGTACACGTTCAACCACTGGCTAAATATGGAGCTGGTTATCCATGCCTTCTTATTTGCCTTGTAGATCACAGGAAGGTAATCCTTAGAGTAACCTTTCAGGGCCTGTGGTGGCAGCGCGAGAAATCAGCATAGGCTTCAGCTTGAAGTCACCGGCAGCATTCGCGCCAAGCAGCAGCGTCAAGCGGTCTTTTGCCGCTTTGAAACCTGGCGCTCTTTTCTCCTCCTTGGAGATATAGGTCCTCTCAGGCATTCTCTTCCATAAGAGACCAGACTCCTCCACATTCAAGACTTGCTTCAAAGAGTAGCCTCCTTCCTGGAATAACCTGCTTGAATTCAGGTGGGAATGTCATCTTGATGTTGTGAAAGTTATACCTGCGCTTAAATCATTGAAATCATCCTCGGCGGGCTGTAAAGGTCTCTTCCTTCAATCCTTCACCCTCTTCTGCCTTTATGTCATCAAACAAGGATCTGGCCTATGCTGCATAACCATAAGGCTTACAGGCGCATTGTGTTGATTCTGGTCCTCCATCCACATTGCCAGCATCTTTTCCACTTTTTCTATCACAGTACAGTGGTCCCTCGGTTAACAAACGCCTTGGTTAACGAAATTCTTACGAAAACGTTTCGACATGCTTTGGCTTGCTCACCAACTGGAAGATTAGTCCGCTAATACAGAAATCGGTTCTAGGGCTTACATTCGTTAAAATTGGAGTGAATATCAAGAAGGTTGTACTATTCAATAATTTTCCAAGTTTTATTTTAAATTTTTTAGTCATTTTAACACTTATTTAACATAATTGCAGTACAGGGAACTAGTTTTTGGTGTGCCCAACAGCCACTTCACTCACCCATCAAGGCCTCAGTTTGTGTCTGTTCAGTGGAGGAAACATCTTGCTTGTGGGTCTCTTGAACACAGAGTATTTTTACGTACAATTATTGGTCATTCTGAAATTTATTTAACATATTGACAATATATAATGCAGTGCAGTATTGATTTAAAGAAAGTAATCTTGAATTACACCTAGTGAACTTAAAATTTTATAGGTGAAATGACGGCATGAAGCATGGGGTGATTTATCTTCCACCCCCACTTCCTTCTCTTCTCCCTTCTCCTCCATCCCACCTCTAATTCCCATCATCATCATCATCATCAACTAGGAGCCTTCTACATACACACCTCAATGTGAGTGTACTTTACTGCATTTTTTTTTTACTTTGTATGTAATTTTCGGTGAGCTGGAACCAATTACCCAAAATCCCATTGAAACAATGGTTTCGGTTCACGACATTTTCGGTTAATGAACGATCTTCTGGAACGAATTGTGTTCATTAACCGAGGTACCACTGTATAGGTACTCCTGAGCTTGCTGATTATGAATATGTGGTCCACGATTCGATTGCAGAGTAATTAATGGCCAAAATGACCCTTGAAAAATTTTACTGACATTTTTCAATGCTAATTACTCATCAACTATGGGTTTCCAAGGTGTGATTTAGGGTTTGTGTGTTATTCTGAAAGTACTTATTTAGTTAAACCCCTTAAATTTCAATTCCGAGAAAAGAATATATTTTGGTAAAAATTTTTGTAAGGTGTAAGACTTACATTTTTGAGGTTTTGGGCCAAAAATTAGATTTTGCTGAAAATCACAGTACTGTATTGGTTTCTAAGGTGATTGGTTGGTGTTATGTTCTTCTGGATGTACTTAATCATTGAAATTAATCCCACCAAATTTCAAGTCTGAGAGAAAATCATATTTGGGTGGAAAAACGCGTAAGGGTCCCTCCTTACGCATTTTTTCCAGGGTAGAGACAAAACGCGATATACACAATTTTGTTCAAAATCACAGTACAGTACTCCTGAGCATGCCGATTCCGAATCTGTCATCGACAGTTCGATTGCGGAATAATTTGTGGTCGTAATAATGCTTGGAATATTTTAAAGAAAAATTTCTCAATGCTTATTTCAGTACTCGCCAACTACGTACTGTACTTCTAGTACGAGTTGTTTTTGTTGCACTGAGAGTAGTACCACTTCCAGCACTAACCTTAATCTTGTCAGCGTTGGTCCGGATAGTATGCACCGTTGTGGGGGTTTAGACCAAGCACAGCAGCTACGTCCACAGCACATTCCCCTTTTTCAAATCGGGTTAATACATACATTTTCGTAGCAAGGGTAATGGTCTTATGTTGCCTCTTCATTACACTAGCATGAGTAGCACTTGATGGGTGCTTCGAAGCCATTTTGAATGGTTAGAGTGCAGTTTTAGAGCAAAAGCTACCAAACAGGGAGGTACTACCGCCTGGGAAGATATTGGCAGCATAATGTGTTGTCTAATGGTAGACCCTGCTGCCATATGGTACTGTGGGGTATGAGATTATTTGGTTCACACTCAGGATGGGATGGAGAAAGGAAACTCACAATGTGCTCTCTATATACATGTTGTATTGGATGTACAATGCAGCTTGGTGCTGGGAAGGCAGCATGGTTACAAGCGTGATGTAGAGAGAGCTGGTTAGTGAGGATGCTCAGAGGAGGACAGCTTGTGGGTCGCCATGCTCGCCAGCGGGAGAGAGGACCGCCAGGCAGGCGGAGGAGCGAGGGCCGCCAGGCAGGCGGAGGTGTTGCTGGCTGGTTGGTGTAGGTAGAAAGAGAGACAGATCACCACGAGGTCAGGTCTTAAATAGCGGGGGTAGGCGTGGCTTAGCAGTTGACCCCCGCTCCGTGGTGTATGGCGGCGCTGGTTGACCTAGACCACGAGGCATACACTGGGGAATTGGTGGGGTCGGCTAGGCAGCGACAAACAGCGTTTGTAGGGGAGAATTCCACTACAGTACCAAGTCCCAGGTTGCTGATCTGACTTTATGCCTCATTTACACACAATTGCAGGGTCTTAATTGTTTCTCTTACCATTGACAACACAACATACTGTACATATATCGTTTCTCACTTTTGATCTTTTTTTTCATTTTTGTATTTATAGTTCTTTATTATTATTATTATTATTACAGTTACTGTATTATTATCATCAGTTTTATTATTTTTTTTGTTTTTGTTTTATCATAAATTTTATTTATTATGAATTATTATGACTATTATTTATTATTATTATTATTATTATTATTATTATTATTATTATTATTACATTTTCGCCCCCCAGGCCCCGATGTGGGTCAGTGACATAAGAACATTAGAATGGAGGAAGCTGCAGCCGTCTATTGGCCCATACTGGGCAGTCCCGTTTACACCCAACCCCTATCGCTCATATATTCATCCAACCCATGTTTGATGCTGCTTTTCACGGCACATTTCTTCACTTACGAAACGCCCATGACTTAAACCATTAAAAAAAACACCCTTTGACTCACCCATACTGGGCACTGAACAGTCCCATTTTGCACCCGAACCCTATCGCTGATACTAGTGAGTGGTGACGTCATTGCAAATTGCGGCCCTGTTTCTAGAGAAATAAACTTATCTCGACTATTATAGCAGGACTTTAAACTATTATTACAAATTATATATACTGTATCACTCTACGAACGAGGCAATGTGTAAAACTTGTGTTTACCGAGAACCGTCAATTAGTCTATTACACCAGGGCTGTTATCGTTTCTTTGCTTAACAAATGTTGCTAGGCGAAATTATATTGTCTAATTGGTATATAATAAGCTTTTCATAAGTTAATCTTTATTATATAACTTTTTTATAGGAAATAAGGGGTTACGTGACAAACTGTCCGTCGTATAACTTATAGAGAGAGCAGAGACAAATAATAATGTGGTAGACCAACTTGCATATCATATTTAGTTCGTAATTAAAAGTAAAATATGGTATTATTTATTATTATGATTTCATATAATTCACAGGGTGTAATATTAAGAAGACATAATAGTGTTGTGAGAGTGTTTTGTGTTGTTAATGAGTAAATTATATAACCCTTGTATCTATCTGGTAAACAACAAGGTCTGAGGAAGGTGATAGTGAAGGCTCGCTGCTCCTCTACGGCAGGTTATTTGGTAACATTTATGGTATTATTAGTAAAATTTACAACATTAAACAATCCTTACATGATATATTATAGTCAGGTGGTTACTAAACAGATTAATTACTCTCTGTCACGACTTGTGTTGAGAAATAAAGTAACTATTAAGAACACCGTGTGGAGGGTCTGACCTTAATTAATTACTAACTTGTGTCTGTTGACTTGAGGCAAGACAACACGACTGTAACATTCTCAGTGTACAGTACAGTGAAGCCTCCATGTAATGTTTGGTGGAGGATTAACATCTAACAGACCCTCGATATAACGGACATTCCTCTCCATGTAATTCGTTAAATAGAGGTTTCACTGCAGTTAGGTGGGGTGGGAGTGAAGATTAATAATTGTTGGAATGTTGAGTTATAATTAAACATTAGGGGATTGCAATAAATGTACCTTTAAACAATGACTTATATGGCAGGTGGCTTAAAAATATTTGGAGTCTTTTATACAGTATTTTGGTAATGTAAAGGAGGTACTCCTATAAATACTGTAGATTTTATTACTTCAGAAAACACTTTAATGTGAGAAAATTTTAGAAATTAGAAATATAGATTGATGTTTAATTTAAGAACATATTATAGTTCCTCATATGTTGACAGATTGTAGGTGAATGGTGGAGTGGGCGCGCTGGATATGGTAAGCCGGATAGATCAGATCTATCGTAGCATTCTCCTGACAAAGTTCTTTGTTCGGGGGTGGGGCAAACCTGAAAATCTCCGCAGACTTTTTGCCTTCCGAAAGATCCTCTCCAACCGTGAAACATGTCAGCAACTTGTCGACAAAAACCATCCAATTACTATAACTAAGGTGAAATGTTGCTCTGTGTTGTGTACATGAAGAAGATGTAGATAGTAGAAGTAATATTATTGATGTTGTATTGAATATATATATGTACAGGTAATCAACAGTTAACTTTGGAACTGAAAATAACTGTAATGACTTTTATTATAACAGGAAGTTGACAATGGAGATCACATAGTTTTGGAAGCAGAGTTCATCTCCCCATTTGTGGCTCACCTGCCGGGTCTTCTGCCCAAGGAATCGGAGAAAGCCACCTTCCAGTTGGTGTTTCCTAAAGTATGGCGGACTCACCTCAAGCCCACCTGTCTCCACCTAGCTGGCACAGGAGATCACGTAAGTTTGTCGTTTTCTGGTACAGTATTTTAATTCTCTCCAGTACAGTATTTTGTGTAATGAAAGTCAACATTATGGGCAAACAGTTTGACTTTTACTGTAAATGACATTCTATCTCTGAAGTTTCACTATTTAAAGTAATCTCTGTGGTTGATCATTATGACTCTGGGAAACTGTCTGTCATTGTTATTAAGACTATTTAGTTTTATGTCAATAACTGGAGTGACCATTGTACTTTTACTTCTCTTCTACTCCTATGTGGGATGGATGACTCAAGAGGAAGAGAAACCTCAAGAATTGGGGGAAATAATAGGGAAGAATATTGCAAGATGAGCAAAAAGTCAGGGAAAAAAAGACAAACAGAACAAACAGAATATTCATGGCTATTTACCCTTATCCTTGATTTGTTTAAACAGATTGGAAAATGAATCTTTATCTTTCAGTGACTGACAGTACTTCATATCTCTATTAGTCATCTTGACATTCTGCTCTTAATTTTTTTCAGATTGTGATATATGTCATAGATTTTGACTGATTATATTTTTTCAGGGATTTTGGAGAAGAAAAATGCTTATGGGGAAACCACTTCTGGACGAGTCAGGTATCGCTTCAGCTATATTAGAGAATCCCTTTTATGGGTGCCGGAAACCCAAGGACCAAATGTAAATATCACTTTTGTGTTATTTGCCTGTGTGTTTCTCTACCATGTGATTTGTATATGAAATAAGAGATCACCTGAAGAATCTCCACCCCAATTTATTTTGCCTAAAGATTATTAACCTCCCTAATGGTAACATTCTCTAACCTTACCTAAACTAAAGGTAACCTAGTCTAATTTAACCTGACTAAACCAAACCTAACCAAACCTTACTTAACCTAATGATAAGGTAAATTTTGTCTCCATTGGATCATTCCTGGCTTAATAGGGTCATGTAGATGAACTAGAAATTCAATAGCTAAATGAAGATTCACGATAAGACGGGGCTTCACTTGGGGGGGGGTGGTTTATTAAAGACTAAAGGCTCATTGCTATTGTATGACAGATCCATCCATACAGTTCTCAGTCATTAATGTGAAACTTTCTACCTTCCACATCATCGTTACAGCCGCTCAAGCTTACACAACGTTTCGGACTTATTTGTGATGGGCGGTTGTCTCGTTCTGGAGTCTCTCGCCATATTCAACTGGTGTGAACGCCTGGGCTTTGGACCTCTGGGAATCACTGGGATCTCCATGGGCGGCCACGTGAGTTGTTCAGGTTATGTTTGTATGGCATATGTGTTTCTTAGCCGAATGATGAGTGAGGGGAGGTGTAAGTGGAGGCTGAAATGTGATGGAAGGATACACTGTGTGGGATGATAATGTGACTGACTGGAAGATGATGGAAGGATACACTGTGACTGGGTAAGGAGTGAGCACTGTAGAGAGATAGTTGATGAACACAGGTGGGGTGGGAGATGCTTGTGAATGTGATAGATGGCTAATGAAAGGTCAAACTCAACTGTGTATGGTAATTGAGGTGAGAAGATAACTTGCTGTGTGAATGTGTTGTTTTTAAGGGGGTGGGGAGACAAGTTAGGTTTAAGAGTTCTGTATACAACAAGAATGTTATTATTATTATGGAGGAATGTATCTTTTTTGTTATGTTTAATAAGTTTAAATTGCATATAATCGTATAAAATAATTTTTTATACAGGTATTGATTGTATGTGTGTGTGTGTGAGTGGGTTTAAGCACCTCTGTAAGCTACATAAACCCTCAACCTTTCATTATTTCTTATCTACACTATGCTGTACCAGTGTAGAGTGGGGAGGGGAACCCATTCTACAGCTGTCAACTGGTAATCATGGGTAACCCACTTCAGTGTGGAAAATAGCCATAAAACATTGATGACAGTAGTGATGATGAGGGTGTGTAAGTGAAAAATAGTATGTAAAAAGATAATAATTAATCTAAAACAAATTAATTTAGAGTTGTGTTGTACATCTACACTGTACATTCCTGATGCTGTCTTGCTCACACTCCTTGCAATGTCCCAGTGTCTTCTAAAACTCTTAGTCTACTATAATATTAAGTTATTGATATACAAAATTTTGGTGATTGGATTTGGAAATGATAAAATGGACTTGCATGATCCTCCCAGATGGCATCTTTGGCAGCTACCAGTTGGCCCAAACCTCTGCCGTTGATCCCTTGCTTGTCCTGGAGCACAGCATCAGGAGTGTTCACACAGGTCAGTTGTGCCTGTCAATCAGGCAAAACTACTGTTGAGGCAATGACATCCCTAACATACCAGACTTGTGTCTGGGCAAAGAGCTGGGAGGAGTACCAGGAACTTCTCTTTTTTGATCTTACAGTTCACAACTAAAGTCCTTTTGCCTCTCCCCCATGAACCAAGAACCCTGAGATTCAGACTCATGAATTCGAAGCATTTATGGACAGAATAATGCATCAGTATACAGCTTTGGGTTCATAAGTCTGAATCTCTCGGTCCATTGTTCAGGGGCAGAGGTGAACGGAATTTAGTAGGACTTTACAGCACTGCTTGGGTCTCTGTTCACTACAGCTGTTGATATTAATCTAAAAATACTCACACCTGGTGTTTACTGTCATTATTAGCTGTTATGTGAATTTTACATTGTTTTATAATGTTGTGTGTGTGGTGTCATAGTTGTGAGCATTATGGTGCAGTTGTACATAGTGTCTGGCAATAAATGGCAGTTAGATGTCTGCTTGGTGGTTATGAAATTAACCTAAATTCAGTAATCATCTTCCCAGCTTACAACAGTTGAACATTTACACATTTTCAAAAAGCTATCTTTACAAAATAGTGTTGAGAAAATATGACAGTGGACGAAGGACTTTGACGACCCTACAGAGACAACAGGAGTCGCAGCTTTCATTCTGAAATTCATCGACCTCCTCAAGTAAAGATAGTATTTTGAGTGACTGTACATACACAAATTTTGAATCATTGCCTCATCAGTGTGTCTTGCTTTGTCTTCTATTATGTGTGGTATTTCACTGAGTATGTTGATGAACTTTATATTTGTGGACAGGTATAATTTTAACATCTCCTGTGAAGACTTCGTCAACTATACCGAGAGGTGAGATGGCACCACACGTTTTGCTTATAATACTATAGCAAGTAACCAGACAGGTGGTATTCTTCAGATGGCCTCAGCAGCCGCCACCAGCTGGGATAAACCCCTTGCTATCGTCCCTTGCCTGTCATGGACCACAGCCTCTCAATGCTTCACCCAGGTACCTCACAAGTCTTCGAGGATCTTTATTATTGTATTACCAGTACAGTGGTCCCTCGGATAACTAACTCAATTCGTTCCAGAGGGTCGTTCGTTAACCGAAACCATTGTTTCAATGGGATATTGGGGAATTGGTTCCAGCTCACAGAAAACTATATACAAAGTAAAGCCAAAAATGCAGTGACATGTCTGACAGTTGGCACAGAGGTGTGAAGTATTTACTGTAATTGTCTATTTATGTCCTTTAGATTGAGTTTTTGTTTTTCACTTATAAAATTTCATAGAAGTGACCGGGGAAAATATAATTTACATTGCTGGGATTCTTATAAGATAGTGATTAATTTGAATGTAAACATGCTATAGATTGCACTACACAAAAATTTTAGTAATCATTTTGTACATTATTCTGATTACATGTACAGTTCAGCTTTGCCCTTAGGACAGTGTGTGCATGTAAATGAGTTTCAATAAATGAATAAAGTTACATATAACGAGCCAAAAATAATAGTTGAAAAACTTTGTGTAGACAGAGCTTGGATGGCTAAATTTTAGAATGACCAATAATTTTAATACCTCCTGTACTGTATAAAAAAATGCACAAATATTAAAGAGCACAATTTTCTTGATATTTACTCCATTGGACACGAATGTAAACATAGAAGAGATTTCTGAATTGGCTGAGTACCTCCTCGGCTTATCAGCTGATGTTCAAAACAAAACGTGATTTTCATAAGGATTTCGCTAACCGAATTGAAGATTCTTATGGAAGGTAATTTGTTAACCGAAATTTCGTTAACCGAGGGACCACTGTACCTACATACTGTGATATAATCCGTCATATGGGGTTTCACATCTCACAGACCCTCTATATAACGGACTTTTCTCTCCAAATACTGTAGTCCATTAAATAGAGTTCACTGTAAATTATTAAGGCTACCTGAGGGCTTCATCTTGGGGTTACCAGCATGGAAGGGGTAAGATTATTGATTTAAAGCGATACTTACAATTAAGGACAATGTTTTAATTTAAAGCGAATCTTTCCTGTTTTGCACGAGTCAATTTGGTGCATCATATTTTAAAATTCGCGCCTAATGTTTCTCTGGGCACGCTACACTGTCCTAAGGGCAAAGCTGTACTGTATGTGTACTCAAAATAATGGAGTAAATGATTACTAAAATTTTTGTCTACTGCAAACTATAGCATGATTATATTCAAATTAATCACTATCTTTTAAGAATTCCAGAATGTAAATTATATTCTCCCCGGTCACTTCTGTGACATTTTATAAACAAAAACTCAATCTAAAGGACATAAATAAACAAATAAATACTTCACTAGACCTTCGGCCCAACTGTCAAACATGTCACTGTCTCCTCTGTCCTCCCCCCTCCCTCCCAATCTTCCCAGCCAGGGTTGGTAGGTGATAGGCTTACAGTTTTTTTTATCTTATATAATATCACAGACTAAAGTTAGGAGAATATAATTTGCATTGCTAGAATCCTTGCAAGACGGTTAATAATTTGAATATAAACGTCATATTTTGCACAAGAGATAAAAATGTTAGCCCTTTGTAATAAAATTAATTAGAACATGTCAATTCAGTGACATTTTATAGGAGAAAAAATTAAAGTCACTCCTAAGGACAGATAAATAAATAAGCACTAGACCTTGGGATCAACTGTCAAACATATCACCTCACCTCTCCCCATCTTCCCATCAGCTGATCGCTAGTGTTATATCGTGTTATATCGACGCTCTACTGTACTAGACAAAAAAATAGGAATGAGATTATACTAATAGGAATAAATTTGAGAATACAGTAGACCCTTGCTATTCACGGGTCTACGATTCGCTACTTCAATGATTCGCGGTAAGCAGATGGTGGCTGTGGTGGCTAGCATGAGCCTTTTTCCCGCAGTGCAACGAGTCACCCCATGCGCCCGCAGCATCACCTCTCCCTCTGTTCGTGCTCAACCATTGCCTGTGATGCAGCATCTCGTATTGTACTCTCAAAACTTTAGTATTTCTGTGTGAAATGGCCCCTAAACGACTGCCTAGTGTCAATGCTAGTGCTGCTAGTTGAGTGAAATGTAAAAGGCAGAAGTCAGTGATGACCCTGACCAAGAAAGTTGAATTATTAGAAAAGTTAAAAGAGGGGATGAGAGCTGTCATGGCTGGTCGGTTATTTGGTATAGGTATACAGTAGTGTACTAAGGTATTATAAGTTGTTATTCACGGTTTGCGCCATTCCTTGGAACCTAACCCCCACGAATAGCAAGGGTTTACCGTATTGTATACGGGTATTAATAAATAATAATATTATGTTGTATTTCTATATACAGTGGGGTATGCTATAACGAATCTAATTGGTTCTAGAACCTCGTTCGTTATAGCATTAGTTTGTTATAGGATTAATCCGTTCCAGGCCCCCAAATACAACCACTTAACATTGAAAAATTTCTGTGGAAATTGTAAAAAATACGGTACTTTATCTTACCTTAGTGTTGTTAGTATGCAGGACTGGAGGCAGAGGAGGAGGGGGAGGAGAGAATTATGGAGAAGAGGTGGAAGGAGAGGAGTCATCCTTCCTAGCCCTCTTTGGTGACTGTCTTACAGGCACTTTGTCTGTTTATTTATAATTTCTTTCTTAGTTTCACTCGCTTTTGACGATTCATTGTTACAATTGTACACTTGTATAACAAAATAGTTATAAAAATAACACGAATTTCCACATCAAAAGACAAAATTTCAACAAGTTCAGTGGTGTACTGACTACGCAATGAACCAATATGGCGCCTGACGCTCTTTATGTGAGCCGCGGTACAACAATATTCATGCGCCAGACGAAATAGTCCTGTATTCATCCGCGTTCATTGTAGGAGTTGCGTTCATTATAGCATTTTCAATTTTATAGGCAAAACCGTTCGTTATAGGAATATTCGTAGTAGAATCCGTTCGTTATAGCATACCCCACTGTATCCCTGAATAAAATACTTATACCCTGTACTATATTCTATAAATATAGCCTGTATAGTAGCTAGTGTATATACAGTAGTTATGTAATATTTAATATCAAATGATGGTATTCTACTTACTGTACCATACTGGTTACAATAAAAAAAATCTTGCTTTTACCAACTATCAGTGACTAATGATGAATACTGTACTGTCCTTTCATAATGTATTCCCACTTGTATTTAGAGCATTTACATTCTTATTTGACCTGAACTTATTTATTTAACCCTTCCCTGAATTAGTGTGAATTATTAACACAAGAATAATTAGTGAAACTTCCATATAATGAACTTCTCTCCATATAATTAGTTAGATGGAGGTTTCATATCTAACGGAAACTTGATATAACGGAATTTCATCTCCATATAATTCGTTAGAGGGAAGTCTCACATCTAATAGATCCTCGATAAAACGGAATTTTCTCTCCATATTGTCCATTAAATTAAGGTTTCACTGGAAAACACATTTTCAGTATTTAAAATGCCAGTTATGCCGTGCCCATAAGATTAAATCACACTTTAATATGTTTCATCAATACAATAGATGAACTTTTCACTTTCCAGAAAATTAGTGAGAGTATTGACAGTAGCTGCCCCTCCCTGCCCTCTAGTGGGCTCTTGTAAACAGGAGTCACCTGGTTGAGGCTATTGAGCCAAAAATAGAGAATTGGTCATGAAATCCTCTTTCTATTTTGTAATTAAACTGTGAGCCAAGACACCTCCCCTCTTCCATTGGCTTTGTGGCTGTGTCTGCTGGAAACAATCCAAAATAGCAGATTGACTCAAACTAGGAATCACTGCAAATTTAAATTTACTTTAAGATATTCTCTACTTAAGAGGAAGCTTAAGTAATACTGCAGTTTCTCAAACATTACCGATACAGTGATATCCTCGTTAGCCAGAATAATAGTATAGAGTGGTTCCAGGATTGAGAGATTTCCAGGTATTGGAGACAAATTTTCTAATCCCCGCCTGCCTAGACACAGAGCTGCACTTATTTATGCAAACAACACTGTACACGTATAATATATTGTAAATAAACAAAATATACTATTTTTTTCTGGCATATCATTGTGTAGAGTAATATAATCTTTTTCTTTTCCATTTTTAATTTCTTTTTACTCTTATTTTTTTGCTCCCCAGACCCTGTTGTGGGTCGATGACTTGTGCCCAGGTGGGTTATTCCCTGTAAAAAAAATACACTACAGCTGTACTTGCCAACAGGTGCTGTCATCTTGAACTTGTAATGTAGGCAGGCCAAATGGTGATGTGATGATACAGGATGGCCTGTCTTTCTCCTGTACAGTTTCCTTCGGCAGGTGTTGCTGTTACTCCTCTCTCTTCATAAAGGAGGGATTGTACACACATTGTATACTGTACATACATGCTCTACACACTGTCCACTCTGCTCTGTACAGTACTGTACATCTGGTACATTAACACAGTATTCTTGACTGATTATATGCTGGTACAGTATTGCACAGTACTGTACTACACAACACAGATTGTACAGTATATATGAAAACAGCAGTGACCTAGTGAACAAACTTGTACAATGACAACAGACAGTGAACTAAGAGTGTCATGATGCAAGAGTTTGAGGATAGACTGAGATACATCAGCCAATCATAGGCATCCCATACATCGCATGACACTAGTGACCAATCGTTACTCATGAGAATTCCGAGCCTATTCACCCACGTGTCACAACATTGGAAATATAATACAATCCTCGGAAATTTTTTTCCATGCCTGGAATAGAGAGATTTTTCCCAGAATTTCTCTGAATGCTCCAAAAAAAATACGGCTATTGGAGAGTTCCGGGGATTGAGGATTCCGGCTCACAAATAGGTTACTGTATATTCTTTGAATACTGTATTACATTTAATTGCTGGAGAAGATTTTTTTCGTGTAAACTTAAACCAAGACATTTTTGTTTCTTCAGTACAGTCTGCACTAAAGATGATAACACTCAGTGCCTAGACTTTAGTGGACTTAGGCTAAACATGTAGTGTTCAGAGCACTGTATAGTACTGTGCAATTAATTTGGAAAAGAACAAGTACCTGAAGAGAAACTTGATTTTTTTAATAAATTTTACTCTGTAAGACTGTGATAACAGACAAATTATGGGAGCCCAATTTTGTCTTATGTGCTTCATTATACTGTCCCATGACCCACTAACTAACGGTGGTGTTAATATTTTAATGTGACCCGTAGGGGGTGTTAAGCGGAGCCATCAACTGGGAAATGCTCAAGAATCAGTATTTCTCCAATGAAGTGTTCAGAGAGGAACTGTTCGACATGATCCAGTCTCCGGAAGGGGTAAGCTTCTAGGTTATTATTTATGGTTTTAGTGAAGGGATAAGCTTAAAATAGGTTTGATGAAGAGGTAAGTTTAAAGCCTATGATTTTAGCTTTGGTGAAGGGGTGAGCTGGAAGGTGGGTGAAAGGTATCCATGTTGTAGCTGATGACAAGCCTGATGAAGGGACAATGATATTTGGTGGAATGGAGAGCACTGGAATAGATATGATTTGAATAGTTGTACAGTAATCGAGAAGATGCGGATAATGTTGATGACAGGATATGAATGTAATATGGGAAACAAGTTCAGTTCAGTTTTGGGAAGGTGTGTATGGGTGAGCGAGTCATTACAGGGTTCATTTGTTTTTCCTGCAGCATTTTCCAGTGTACCATGAAGTGGGACAGAAATTTGCTCGGGACTTTCCAGGCAGTTTATCCCACGTGGAGCAGCTCATGCAGGACCAAGGCCAAAACCTACGGCAGCACAAGCACAAACTCGACGACTCTCACTCTGACAACAAAAATGAAATACGTAATAGTGAGTTTAAGTCTGATGACATAAGAAGCGCTCAAAATACTAGAAAGAGTAGCCAAGTTGAGGGCTCAGGCTCAGAGTCTCAGTATTACACAGGCACGGTGCACAACGTTGCCGCGGGCAGAGGCGGTGGTCCTCTGGGGATCAGTCTCTCTCTCCCGAGGTTTAATATTTTACAAAGCTTTGGTCTCTCAAAGTCAAAAGTCAGCAAGGGACAGCCAGCACAGGCTAATAAAGATGCCGCCACATCATCAAATCACATTCTTGTTGGATATAGAAAATCAAAGTCTAATATATCAAAGCCAGTTCATGAGTTCACACCAGTGGGGATCAGACCCAAGTCATCTGCCAACACCAAGACCGTCAAGTTTGATCCTTACATGGAGGTCAAGGACACGTTAACCTGGGAGGCCGTGCAGTTCATGCGTGGCGTCATGGATGAGTGTACTCACTTGGGGAACTTCAGTGTCCCGGTGGATCCTTCGTTGGTGATTATTGTTGCTGCTGAAAATGATGGGTAAATAAAATTTCTTGTACACATACATGTTCTTGTAGTATCTTTTCCAATTTCTCTCTTATTAATAAATTTATGTGCACATGCTCTTGATTTTTCTTAATGGTTGGCATCTGAGCATGTGTCTATGTGACATTGAACAAATGGCCATCAATTTTAAGTGTGTAAATATCTCAACCAGGTCTTATCCCGTTAGAATCTGTGGTAACAGTCTGAGGAAAATTACAAGACCAAATATTACATATATAATTATTTAATGGGGGAAAAGAGGAATTTAGTTGAGAGAGAGAGAGAGAGAGAGAGATTTTAATACCTGTATATACAAAACAAATACTGATCTCTCTCTCTTGCCTCTCACTCTCTTACAGTATTTCTGTGTTCGTTATTACTTCTCAGTATCATCATCATTATCACCTGCTTGATTCCCAAATTCTTCCACTTCAGTGAAACGATACCTTACCGAGGAAGCCATCTTTCTTTACATGTATTTTTTTATTGCCTCAAGTTCATGCAGGTTTGTGATAACTCAACATATATCAAGTCATTCACACTTTCCCCATCATTCACACCCTCCCATCATTCATACTCTCTCTTCATTCACTGTCATTCTCACTGTCCCATCATTCACTGTCATTCATATTTCTTCCATCATTCATGCTTTCCTAACCTAACCTAATTCCCCCAGGTAGCATTAGGGTGTTTAATCATCAGGTGAAATAAGCTGGGGGAGGGGGGGTGAATCTTGAGGTGTACCTTTTACACAACCCAGCCTCACCCATAAAATATTAACCACTGTGAACACTCGACAGGTACATGCCTCGTGATGGGATAATTCCACTCAATGAAATATGGCCAGGAAGCCAAGTTAGAACTATCAGAACTGGCCACGTCACTGCCTATCTGTTCAACCACCAGGTGTTTCGGTAAGTGTCCACTGCAAGTGTGTCTGTATTGTCTATACAGTATGCCCCCCAAGTTCGCGGTCCTCAGTTATTTGCGGATGACACCCTGGATGTACCCAAGAATGTCTGAGGGTAGTTTTAAAAGTTGCCGTCATTTTCGCGGCTGGGACAGGGAGTCAGTCGTTCTAGAGACAGTTTTTTTCTTTACCTGTATTGTAAATATGTGTGTGTGTCTACACACACACACACACACACACATATACAATACTACAGGTAAAAGAAATAATTGTCCTAAGGGCAAACACATTAAGGAAATATACGTACAATTCGTTGTACACAAGTAAAAATGTAGCAACCCCCCCCCTCCTTCCCCCGGTCTGCAAATGTTATTCGCGGCCATTTTGAGGACCTAACCCCCGCAAATTTGGGGGCCCCCTGTATACTTGTTAAACTGTATACTGTATCTGCATTGTTTATATACATGCTCAAGTGTGTACTGTATATGCATAGTCTATATACATGTTGAACTGTATACTGTACTGTATATACATTGTCTATACACATGTTCCCCTTAAACTCTGCCCACACAAAGACTTGTTAGTCTTTGGGGGGTGGGCTTATGAAGGAAACACTATTGTGTTGGTATCTGTGACTAGGTTTCTACACTCAATATTCATAATTGAATCTCTTAACATTTCTTCTTCCTTTTTCAGGCAAGCAATCAAGGACTCGTTTGACCAAGTCATAGCTAAATACTACAGTTGAACGTCTTATACTGTACACTTGTCAGCAGATTATCTGTAGGTTGGAAATTAGTTATCATGTTAAGGCAAAGTTGACTTAGAAATTACTAAAAGGTTTAGGATTACTGCACTGCCATATTCTCTACAAAATACTATTGTGGATTTATTATATGCAAGTAAGAACAAAATTCATTTTTACAAACCATGTGCTTTCTGAAGTGAGGCTTTACTAATAGTGAGTGACCAGAGATGTGTGCCTCATGATAGTGAGTGGCCAGAGATGTGTCCCTCATGATAGTGAGTGGCCAGAGATGTGTCCCTCATTATAGTGAGTGGCCAGAGGTGTCCCTCATGATAGTGAGTGGCCAGATGTGTCCCTCATGATAGTGAATGAGTGACCATAGCTTCAAAGGCTAACCTTAAAATATTGCACACTAATGCACATAAAATCTAAAATTGAATTTCTTTGTTACTGATCTTTTAGTGCATCTTTGACTTTCTCTCTGCTGAAGCATTTCATTTAGGATGTGAAGTGTGGTGTAGTGTAGTGTAGGGTAGGTCACGTACAGTACGGTTGTATTTTCAGAATAAAGTCTCCAAAGAACAGTGTAGATTAAAGTTTGCCACAAAGTGTGCATTGGGACCTACCAGTTGTAACATTCTTTTAGTTGTTAATGCTGATATAGTTTTGCTACTTTTATACAGAACCTGTGCTGGTTTATGAAAAATGTGGGCAAGAGGAAAGAAAACTTTTCAACAGTTGTTGAACCTGTGGTGTCTTAAAATAGGACGGTGCTTGTCCCAACATACTAATGCCAGTGTGGGTCATGTTTTTAAAACTAACTCCAGATATTGTATCTTCATGTGGTTTATTAGAAATGCCAAAAGCATTATGGATATATATATTGTGGGGAGGTTTTAGCTTACGGTACTATACTGTACTACTAAGAAGCTCCGCTCCCCCCATCTCTGAAAGTGTGAATTTGTTTGTGACTCCGACGGTAAATAGTCTTTATTTCATTTTTTCCACATATCTTGAAAATTAATGTTTTCAAGCAGTTATAGGTCTACATACTGTACGTACATTAAATTTGGCATTAATTGTGTTATATCAATGTTAATCGAACATTATGTATGGGCCAATGAGCTGCAATGGGAGCAGGGCTTGTACGGTTAATAAAAAATAAATAAAATAAAAACTATACAGTAGTTGGTAACTGGATTAAATTAACTGGCTAATCTTCTGAGTCCTGCTAACTTTGAAAGTGGTGTTCAAATGCCATATGTCTTCAGTTCAAAACCCTTTTTAATTGTTTTTAATTTTAGCAGGAGTCTTCAGGTGGTTGACATTAACTAACAAAACTTTTTAGGATTTTTCAGTGCTTTTTGTAGCTTCTTGCAAATCTTTGATGATAAATTGTATTAGAAATTTGAAATGTGTGTCCTTTATGGTATAGTATTACCTTTCAATTTATTATGGTGCTGAGTGCTGTGTTGTCATTGATAGTAACACTGGAAAACATAGTGAAACATTGGGCGGTAAAAATTTTTTTAAATTCTTTAATAAAAATTACACTATGAA